TCCAGGACGCCGCAAGTTGCGCACAGTGTGTTCGGGGACTCCTTGTCCCCCTGGCGCTGGCTTGCAGCCCCTCGTCACGTAACGCGTGGTCTGGGGATGGCCCCAGAGGGTTCGAAGAGCACGTCGGGGTCCTCTTCCTGCAGGCGGACGGTGGGCCTTTTCCGAGCTCCTCAGTGGTCCCATGGAGTCCTTGGGAGGAGGAGGGGGAGGAGGAGGAGGGGAAGGAGGAGGAGGACCAGTGGAAACCAAAGACTCATCAACGATTATGGAAGAAACCCTCCCTCCAAGCTCCCTCCTCATAGGCCCCTGCAAGGGCTCATTTCCATTGGGGCAACTGCTTCGTTGGGAGACAACTGATTGAAGACCTTGAAGCATGCCAAAACAACCGTAACTGGTGCACCCTCACAATGCTGAGTCCCTCCACACTGTCTGGTACGTTGACCGTGGGAATCCGTAAAACTTTGGCACTGTTTAAGGCGAGAGTGTACGCGGCGCTTAGGCGAGAGCCACACTCTGAAAAGGAACCGAGGCGAGAGCCACATGTCTTAAAACCTCATTCCCTCAATCCGTGAAGCTCCTGCCACTTGTTTGAATGAATGTGCGCGTCGCTAAGGTGAGAGCCACACTCCCAGTTTTCAATCTTCGGGGTCATTCGTGGTGAGGAAGTCTAAGGCGAAACGCACGGCACGCCCTTTCTACCGGCCTCGGGGTTCGACAAGGAGGAGTTCTTTTGTATGGAAACGGGATGGAGGAGGAGGAGGAGGAGGAGGAGGAGGAGGAGGAGGAGGAGGAGGAGGAGGAGGAGGGGGAGGGGGAGGGGAGGGGGAAGGGGAGAGGGAGGAGGAAAGAGGAGGGGAAGGAGGGGGAGGAGTAGGGAGGAGGGAGAGGGAGGAGGGAGGGGGAGGAGGAGGAGGAGGAGGAGAGGAAGGAGGAGGAGGAGGAGGAGGAGGAGGAGAGGAGAAGGAGAAGGAGGAGGAGGGGGGTTAAACATAAGAGGTTCCCAACGAGTTCCCCACCGACGTCCGCCGATCTGTTTGCCGATCTACAGTCAACCCGCATAGTAAGGATGAGCAACTTTCCAAGTTTACCCTTGCATCCTTGCTCCATTCGGCCCATCCTTAGCGACGGTTCTCGCTGGCCAACCTCCTTCGACACACGTTAACATGGTTCTCCAAGGCCCTTGCATCCTTACCGCGCATACTTTTTAAACGGGTTGATTGCATGCTTGCGCATGCCGCAGAGGCCTAGAGGTCCACGACTGCCGACGGCCGCGGCGGATGGGGGGGGATCAGGAGGTGGAGGAGGTGGAGGATGAGGAGGAGGGGGGAGGAGGTTCCCAAGGAGTCCTCCACTGACGTCCGCCGATCTGTTTTCCGATCTACAGTCAACCCGCATAGTTAGGATGAGCAACTTTCCAAGATTACCCTTGCGTCATTGCCCCATTCGGCCCATCCTTAGCGGCGATTGTCGCTGGTCAACCTCGTTCGAAAAACGTTAACATGGCCTTCCAAGGCCCGTGCATCCTTACCGCACATCTGTATGTTGTTTGTTGTGCAAGCCGCGGGGCAGCAGAGGTCTACGACCGCCGACGGCCGCGGCGGATCGGGGGGGAGAGCAGCCACCTCCAAGCGACGCAGGAAGGCGGGCTACGATTTCTCGTGCATGCGCGTGACACAGATTCAGCCACGCTCAGATGTCGAGTAGGGGGTCGGCTACAGTCTTAGTGCACCCCCAAGTGTATGTTTCTTCCGTCGAATCCACGAGCATACCTAGAATGCTCGATCGATCTGCGGAGCATTCGACGTATGTTCCGTATATTCGACGGAAGCACATGTGGGGCACATCAACTCTGTAGTCGATCCGATACTAGAAGAGGGGGTAGGGTGAGGGGGGAGGGCTTCTTAGAAGCACCCCTTCTGCTTAGAAGGCGCGGGCCATATTCACAGATGCAAGGCCAGCGTCTCCTGAGACGCAGCTTCCTGCTAAGAAGCCCTCCCCCTCCTCCTGCCCCCCCGAGTGCGCGCCGCCGGAGACGAGCTCCACAGCAGGCGCACCGATGAAGACATCGGCCTGCCAACGGGTGCCCCCCACAATGATCTCTCGCATCCTGGCGGGCCCGCGGAGCCCCGAGGCGCCTGACGCAGCTCGGTCTGGGCCTCCTCGGTGGGGTCGGAGTGGATGGGGTCGGAGGATCGCGCCGCATCGCCGATGCATCGACGAGGCGTCTCGATGTGGAGCCCGATTTTCTTCACGCTGACGGCGCCGATGCAGCGACGACGTCGCCGATGCATCGGCCATGCGGCGCGAGCCTCCAAGCCCATCTACTCCGACCCCAGCTGCGAGGCCTCTGCTCGGGGACGAACAAGGGAGTGCCCCCAGACGTGTCGTGGCAGGACCTCTCATCGAGTGCGCCTGCTGCGCTTCGCCTCGCGCCCCTCGCGCAGCGGGCCCGGGGGGATTGGGGCAGGTGAAGGGGGGGGAGCAGTCGCCGTCGGGCAGAGGCCCTCCCAGTGCAGACACCCCTGGAGGCCTCGCGCGGCGCGCCGTAGTCTTAAGTCGGGCCCGTCCCTCTTCAGGAGGGGTATTCAAAGATAGTCAAAAAATAGTATGGGGATTTGTTTTGCGCATTTTTTGACCATTTTGGAATATTTTTTGTTTTTTTCTCGAAAACCTCCCTGTAGGGGGACACGCCCGACTTCACCATAGTCGGGGGCGGCAAAGAGGCGGGTGATGACTGGGTGGGTGGGTACATCATGGCGTGGGCCATGATGTTCCCCAGCCTTCATGGCGCCTCGTCTTGTTCCATTCCGTCCCTGGCCCCCCACTTGGGCCGCGCACGTGCCGCCGGCCATGATTCGCGCCCCCCCCTCTCGGACGCCCCGCTCGTGACCGCCCCCAACGTGGCTGCACGGTCCAGTCCGCACGTCCGGCCCGTCAGATGTGGGCCAACGTTCGCGCGGCGGTGCTCTGGCTCAAGTCCTTTACGTGCACCCGACGTGCATCCGACGTAATTCCGACGCCATCCGCGATTCGTCGCCGTCGTCGTCGTCGTCGTCGTCGTTGTCGTCGGTTTCGTCGTCGGAGATAGGGCAACCGTGCCCTGCGACGGCAATCTTTCTAATGCAGCTCGCTCGCACACAATCCACAGACTCCAGCAATGTGGATCTTTTGCTTTCCCGAAGTCGATGGATGGAAAAGTGGATCCGACGTGATGCCCGACGTCAGTCCGGCGTGGGTCCGACGCAGCCTGGGGCCTCAGGTGGCCGCGCGAGGCCTCCCGGATTTTTGTTTCCTCGGTGCAGCCTCCCGCCCTCGAGGCCCCTGCGCGAGAGGGGCGGGGGAGGGGGGAGCAGCCGCCTCGGCGTTGGCCCCCTCCCCCTCATCCTCCTCCTGCCTGCTCCTGCTGCTCCTGCCTGCTCCTCCTGCTCCTGCCTCCTCCTCCTCCTGCCTCCTCCTCCTGCTCTTCCTCCTCCTCCTGCTCCTCCTCCTCCTCCTCCTGCCTCCTCCTGCTGCTCCTCCTCCTGCCTCCTCCTCCTCCTGCTGCTCCTCCTCCTGCTCCTCCTCCTCCTCCTCATCATCATCCCATTCCTCCTCCTCTTCCTCCTCCTCCTCCTCCTCCTCCTCATCCACCCCTTCGTCCTCCTCCTCCTCCTCCTCCTTCTGCGCCTGGGAAGCCTGCCAACCCTCGGAGCGCCAAATGCGTTGGCACCAGTCTCATGCACTCGCCTCTTCTTGTGCTGCGGGGGGCGTGTGCTTCCACGTCGGCACGCTGGTGTTGTGCGCCTGCCAGCGTCTCTTCCGATGCCATGCTCACCGGCTGCTCTGCCCAATCCAGATGCCGAGAGGACTGCCACTCCAGTCCGTGGCAAAGCAGCGCAGTGGCAATATCTTCTCGCTTCTCTTCAGGTGCGTCCGCGCCGCCATTCCTTGGACATTGGATTGCCTCTCTTTCGTTCGTCTTGTGCTCTTGGCTGATCGTTCTTTCTTCGGCTGATATCCCTCCCCTCCTCCTCCTCCTCCTCCTCCTCCTCCTCCTCCTCTTCCTCCTCCTCCTCCTCCTCCTCCTCCTCCTCCTCCTCCTCCTCCTCCTCCTCCTCCTATTCCTCCTCTTCCTCCTGCTTCTCCCGCACCGCGGCAGGCTCCAGATCGAAGTGGAGCGAGAGAGGGGCCCGAGGCAATCGCCGAAAAACCAAACACAGAGAAGAGACGACCAGGAGGCATGGCTCCTTTGCTGGAATGGCTGCGAGACGAGACGAGACTCCTCCTCCCCCTCCTCTCCCCACCCCCTCCCGTGGGGTCGGCCGACATGGCGTAGAATCCACTCCCTCCTCCTCCTCCACCTCCTCCTCCTCCTCCTCCTCCTCCTACTACTACTACTCGTCCTCCTCTCTCCTCCTCCTCCTCATCTCCTCCTTCTCCTCCTCGCCCTCCTCCTCCTCCACTCCTGCGCCTCTCCTCCTCCTCCTCCTCCTCCTCATCCGCTCCTCCCCTCCCTCCCTCCTCCTCCTCCTCCTCCTCCCCCTCCTTCTCCTGCCTGCTCCTCCTCCTCCTCCTTTTCCTCCTCCTCCCTTTCCTCCCCCTCCTCCCCCTCTCCCCCTCCTCCTCCACCTCCTCCTCCGCCTCCTCCTCTCCTCCTCCTCCTCCCCTCCTCTCCTCCTCCTCCTCCTCCTCCTCCTCCTCCTCCTCCTCCTCCTCTCCTCCTCCTCCTCCTCCTCCTCCTCCCCCGTTCCTCCTCCTCCTCCTCCTCTCTCCTCCTCCTCCTCCTCCCGTTCCTCCTCCTCCTCCCTTTCCTCCTCCTCCTCCTCCTCCCGCTTCCTCGTTCTCCTCCTGCCCCCTCTCCCCCTCCTCCTCCTCCCGTTCCTCCTCCCTCCTCCTCCTCCTCCTCCTCCTCCTCCTCCTCCTCCTCTCTCTGCCCTTTCTGGGGGGGGGGGCGGAGTGGTGCAGAGGCCCCTCGCCCCTCGAGGGCCCTCCCGCCGCCGATCCACCGCCGCGGCGCGGAGGCCCGGAGCCCGCAGGGCGCCGCCGCCGCCGCCGCGGCGGGGTCCAGGAGCTCGCGCTGCCAGGACGCGCCACTCCCAAAATCCCTCCTCGTCGTCGTCGTCGTCGTCGTCATCGTCGTCGTCATCGTCGTCGTCGTCGTCGCGCTCATCGTCGTCGTCGTCGTCGCGCTCATCGTCGTCATCGTCGTCGTCGTGGGCGTCGTCGGCGTCGACGCCGTCTTAGGCTGTCGTCGCCGTCTGAGGTCGTCGTCGTCTTGGGACGTGATCGCCTGTGGTCGTCGTCTTCGTCGGCGGCTTCCTCCTCGTCGTCGTCGTCGTCGTCGTCGTCGTCGTCGTCGTCGTCTTAGGCATCCCCGTTGAGGCATCCCATCGCAAGCGCGGGCGTCCCCTGCCCAGCCGCCGACGCAAAAGTTCAGCTGTCGCTCCAATTCACCACCCACCAAACCACTCCAACCCAACCCGAAGGCTTCAATTTGCCCTCCCTTTCCAGTGGGGCATCGAAAAAATAACTTATCGAGCCCATACCCCCCCCCCAACCCGAAATTCGGGTCTTCGGGTTGGGTTGGGGTGGTCTGGTAGGTACAATGGCGTCCCCGTGCTCCCGCCCGCAGCGCCGCTGCCCACGGCGCCGCCGCCGCGGCACCGCGTCGCCTCGGCGGCCCCCGATGATGTTGCCCCTCGAGGGCCTCGAGCCTTTGAGGGGCCTCGGGGGCTGAGGCCTCTCGAGGGCCCCGAGGGCCCTGCCCTCGAGGGGCCCTCGAGGGCCCCTGCGAGGGGCCTGGACCTTTGAGGGCCCCTCGGGGGGCCCTCGATGGGGCCTGCGATGGGGCCCGCGAGGGGCCTCTCGAAGGCCCTCGGCCCTCGAGGGGCCTTCGAGGAGCCTCGAGAGGCCTCGAGGGGCCTCGAGGGGCCCGCGAGGGGCCTCTCGAGGGCACTCGAGCCCTCGAGAGGCCCCGAGGGCCGAGGCCTAAGATCTGCGAGCGTCGGGGGGGCCCGCGGGCCCCTGAGGCCTCTGGAGGGCCCTCGGCCTCCGAGGGTCCAGGGCGTGCCCTGCGCTGCTGCTCTGCTGCTCAGGCCGTGGGGGCCTCCAGAGGCCCGGGATGCCTCCCAGGAGCGGCGGGAGGTTTGTTACGACCTCCTCCTCCTCCTCCTCCTCCTCCTCCTTCTCCTCCTCCTCCTCTCCTCCTCCTCCAACTCCAACTCCTCCTCCTCCAACTCCTCCTGCCTCCTCCTCCTCCTCCTCCTCCTTCTCCTCCTCTCCTCCTTCCTCCTCCTCCTCCTCCTCAAACTCCTCCTTCCCTCCTCCTCCTCCTCCTCCTCCTCCTCTTCTAACTCCTCCTCCTCCTCCTCCTCCTCCTTCTCCTCCCCTCCTCCTCCTCTCTCCTCCTCCTACCCTCCTCCCTTTTCCGAGATCTGGGGGCCAGTCTTGAGGAGGAGGAGGAAGAGGAGGAGGAGGAGGAGGAGGAGGAGGAGGAGGAGGAGGACGAGGAGGAGGAGTAGGACCCAGCACCTTGACGCGACCTGGATCATCACGCAGGAGGCCTCGGCACTCCTGGGCCCCCCCCCGGGGGCCGCCCCTGGTCGCCCGGGGGGGGCCGCCGGGCGGCTGCTCGTCGGGAGGTGGCGCCCGCCCCCGTGGGTAACGGGCCGAGAGGTCCGTGGGCTGGCGGCCCGACGAAACCGAGCCGTGGGAGGTCGACGGCGACGACGACGGCGGCGGCGGCGCCGGCGGCGACGACGACGTACCGACCGACCGGCCGACCGACCGTCCGACCGACCCACCGACCGACCGACCGACCGACGGACGACGACGGCCTGAGACGACCCAAGACGACCGAGGACGACCGGCGACCGGCCGGGGAGGTTGCCACCAGGTGAGCCGCGCGATCGCGGCAGCAGCAACGCGCCAACCTTCGCGCTCAGGGCCGGGGAGCTGCCCTCGTCGCAGCGGGGGCGCAGTGGTGATCGCAGCCTGGCAGTGCCTGCGGCGCGCGAAGCGCGAGGGCGGCTGTCTTCAGGTGCCGCCGCCAAGGTCAGGGTCGCCCCCGCCAGGGGAAGATGAGCCTCGGTCCCGGCGGCGCTGGTGGCCATCTGTCATGCAGTACTTCCTGGGTCGGCCCCCCTCGGTGGAGGCCCCCCCCCCCCCGATCCTGGCAACGGCCTCAGAGTGTGCATGCCTCCCGACGGAGCGAGGAGCTGGAGCGGGAGCTCCAGAAGCAGCTCGAGGTCAGCATGGACCTGCAGAGGGAGAACCAGCAGCTTCGCGAGGCGGCCTCGCAGAAGGATGCGCGCGCTTGCTCCGCCGTGCCTCTGGGCCTCCGGCCCCCGAGCTGCTGCGCCGCCCTTCTCGTGTGGCCGGGCGGAGTGACGGGAAGCGTCCCGGGCGTGCGAGTTGGCCGGATGAGCGGATGATCATGTTGATTCGCATGTTGTTGAAGTTGATGCTTGGCATCGCTCGGACGTGTGTATTGTGCCTTCAGCGAGGACCATCGAGGAGCATCCTTGATCATTTGGCGAAAAGGCCACGCACGAAACCGAAACAAAAGCACAGGGCATGGACGTCCGAGCGATGGCCAGGATACGGTATGTTTGTCCCCTCCGCACATTCCACGGGCCTCGGTCTGATCCAGATCTTTCTGTGGGTGACTCTCGTTTTTGCGCCTGCCCTGCAGCAGGGGCGTCGAATGGGGGAGCACGCGGAGGAGAAGAAGATGTGGAGGGGGAGAAGGAGGGGAAGGGGGAGGGAGCGAGACAGAGAGATACGCACAGAGGAGGGTGCAGCGGGAGAGGCTTGTGTGTAGGTGTCGCTCACCCTGCCTTGCACCGCCTGTTTTTTCGACCCCAGTTCACCACTGTACGTACCTGGGGGTTGCCGCTTGGCCACGCTACTTCACAAGGGAGTTCATTCTTTGTAAACGCGCCCCCTCCGATTGGACTCTTGGGCGCGTCGGAGGAAAAGCGTGTGTGTGTGTGTGTGTGTGTGTGTGTGTGTGTGTGTGTGTGTGTGTGTGTGTGTGTGTGCGTGTGTGTGTGTGTGTGCGTGTGCGTGTGCGTGTGCGTGTGCGTGTGCGTGTGCGTGTGCGTGTGCGTGTGCGTGTGCGTGTGCGTGTGCGTGTGCGTGTGCGTGTGCGTGTGCGTGTGCGTGTGCGTGTGCGTGTGCGTGTGTGTGTGTGTGTGTGTGTGCGTGTATTTGTGTTTGTGTGTGTGTGTGTGTGGGTGGGGGCGTTGTGGCGTGTCGTGGCCTTTCTCTCGCTCAGGCGCTTCGACCACGACAGGCTTTGCTCAGCGTGCTGCCGCTGGCAGCGGGGTGTCACCGGTCCACCCGGCCACCCCCTCCCGCCCCCTGCCTCCCCTCCGTGCTCCGCCATCTCTGTCCCGTTTTGTCTCGTCGGCCGTGCGCTGGGAGGTGCCGTTGGCGGGCTTCGGTCTCAGTTTCCAAGCTTGATGGGCCTGTTTTCCACCGCCACCACCACCAGAAGTTGGAGGGGGAGGGGGTCCTCCTCCTCTTCCTCCTCCTCCTTCTCCACCTCCTCCTCGCCGTCCTCCTCCCCCTCGTCCTCCTCCTTCTTCTTCTTCCTCCCTCCAGCTCATGGTGGTGATGGTGGAAAGCAGGCCCATCAAAGCTGTGGGGTCGTGTGGCCAGGGTGGGGACGTTCGTTCAGGAATGTGCTTGGAGGCTTCTTCAGACCCTGGCGGATCCCTGATTAACCGGGGGCGGCGGCGGCATCCAAGGCCAGTCCACGATTGGAGCCCCACCAGTTTCCAGACCCCGGATTCCTCTCATCCCCTGGTTCCTCATCGGATGCCCTCACAGTCGACCCGCATAGCAAGGATAAGCGACTTTCCAGGGTACCCTTGCATCCTTGCCCCTTCAGCTCATGCCTAACCACTTTCGCTGGCCAACCTCGCTCGAGAAACGTTAACATGGCCCTCCAGGGCCCTTGCATCCTTACCGCGCTTCCTTACTATACGGGTGGACTGTACCGCGCTCACCTTGCGATACTCGCCGCGTGCCCGCGTGCTGCTGCCACCTCTCTGCCTTGGTCTCGGCCCTCTGAACTGGAGCTCCGGCCCCGCCGGGCTTCCGCTGCCGGTCTCGGCGCCTCTTTGTTGTTGGCTTTCTTGTCGAGACCACGGTTTCTTGCGGGCACGCCCCTGCATCCACCGCCCCTCCACCGCCTCCTCGAGAGTGTTTTTTACAGTCCAGGCCATAACGCGCGTTATGCCCCCTACCCTCTCCCCCTCCCCCCCATAACGTAAGGCTTCCCCCCTCAGTGCGTCCCCGGCACTGCCGCAGTGCGTCCAGCACCAAAGTCTGGGGGGCAGGGCGCTACATATTGCCCCCTCCCGCCCCCCCCCTCGCCCTCTCCCACAACGCCCATCTTGGCCGCGAGTCAGACATTGCGCGCCTCCCCTCCCTCGTTACTCAAAGCCGTGTCGAGGTGATGCGGGGTCATCTCGACAGAACTGTCGCTGGGCAGTTCGTGGTTGTCTAAGCGTGTCCCTGAGGGACCGCCTGTGCGGACCCGTGGTTTCGCGCGGGCACTGGCGGTGCAGCGCTCTGGCGAAGGGTCCAGAGCGTGCCTCCGCGGACATCTCCTGCTCCTGCCGGAGGTCGCGAGCTTCAGGCAGGACGGCCCCGCCAGGGCTGGCGAGCGGGTCGGGTCGGCCGCTTTCAAGCCCTCCCCCGATGCGAGCTCTTTCTTCCCCTCTCTCCTTGCCCCCGCCGTGGAAGGGGCTGACAGGGGCTCATCCAGGGCCCCCTGCTACAGCCAACCCGCATAACAAGGACGGGCAGCCTCCCCAAGGGTGCCCTTGCAGCCTTGCCTCCTCGGCCCATCCTTGGCCGCTTTCGCTGGCCGCGCCCCGCTCGAGAAGCGTCGACGTGGCCTCCCGAGGCCCGCGCATCCTCATGATACGGGCCGACTCTACCAGCAGCGCCGCGCCGCCACAAGGCCCCCCAGCTCGTGGGGATGCGCGGGGCCCCAGAGGGGCGCTCTGCGCGACGCCCGGGTAGCGCTCGGCGGTTGCACGCGCGGCCAGGCCGAGGGGCTCCGCCGCGAGGCGCTTCGGCTGGCCGCTGAGCGGACCAGCCAGCCGGCTTATGTACAGGCCAGCGAGGTGGGGCGACTTCGTGGAGTTTGTTCTCTCCTTTCCTCCTCCTCCTCCTCCTCCTCCTCCTCCTCCTCCTCCTCCTCCTCCTCCTCATTCTCCTCCTCCTCATTCTCCTCCTCCTTGCCCTCCTCCTCTTCTCCTCCTCCTCCTCCTCCTCGCCTCACTCTGCAACCGTTCCGTGCCGGGGCTCGTTGAACAGAAATTCGAGCTCATCGTCTTTCGAGAGTGCCCTGGCAGTAATCGTCGCGTCGCGCCGCTCCTCCTCCTCCTCCTCCTCCTCCTCCCTCCTCCTCCTCCTCCTCCTCCTCCTCCTCCTCTCTCCCGCGACTCGCGACTTCTCCTGCCTTCTCCCCACTTCTCCATCCTCCTCCTCCTCCGCCTCCTCCTCCTCTTCTTCTCCCTCCTCCTCCTCCTGCTCCTCCTCCTCCTCCTCCTCCTCCTCCTCCTCCTCCTTACAGGTCATCGTTGTTCTGTCAGGGACCTGCTGCGGGGATCTAACCCCGCAGCAGGTCTGACAAGCGTCCTCTCGAGTGGGCGGCCCCACCCCGTTTGTCCCCTCTCACCCCTTGACCTCTCCCTCGATGGGCAGTGAACCTCAGTGCTCATCGTCCTCCCTCCTCCCTCCCTCTTCCCTTCCTCCACCCTCTTCTCTCCCTCCTCTCTCCGTCCTCCTCTGTCCTTTCTTCTCCTTGCGTCATCCGTCATCTCTTTCCCTTGCAATGTGACTCCTCCCTGTTGCACCCCCACACGTGTGGGTAGGGCGGGCTGGGCGTTTCGCCCGAGACTTCCTCACCATGCAAAAGCCAGAAGCTTGAAACTTTGAACATTTTCAAGGATGGATGGCGGGTGGTTTTCATAATATGGCTCTCGCCCTGGCGCGGCGCACGTTCGTTTCAAACGGTTGCAACAGCTTCAAGGATGGAGGGTGGCCCGTTTTCAAACTGTGGCTCTCGCCGTAGCGCCGCGCACATTCGCCTTAAACGTTTGCCGCTGCTTCAAGGATGGAGGGTGGCTCCGTTCCGAAAGGCGGCTCTCACTGTAGCGCCGCGCGCATCCGTTGTAAACTTCGCCACGGCTTCAAGGCTGGAGGGTGGCTCCTTTTCAAAATGTGGCTTTCGCCTTAGCGCCGCGCGCATTCCTTTTTCACTGTTGCAGCAGTGTCAGGGGTCCGTATGGTTGAAGTCCCACTGGGGGTGGTTTGGGATTGTCACGACGCAGCACTCACGTTGATTCGCGGTGTTGTGATCCCAGGATCTTGTGTGCTGGCACGAGCTAGGGTGGTCAGGACGCAGCAGTAACGTTCATTCGCCTCGACGAAATCCCAGCAACGGTATTTTGACACGAGTGAGGGTTCTCAGACAGTTGTCTTCCGACTGGCACTTTCCGCAATGATGAGAATTTCTGATGGGTCTTAGATTCACAATGGTCCTCCTCCTTCCCCTCTTCCTGCTTCTCTTCAGTCGTCGACGTCGCCCAAGATGCAATGCGCTCTCCCCGCTAGCTACAGATGTACCTTTCATTTGGATGTGCTCCTCGTGCCGTCGTCGTATTCCCTCCCTCTTCTTCCTCACGTTTGGCCCCCCTTATTCTGGCATACCCTGGGGTGAGGGAGGAGGGAGCGCAGGATGAGGACCGCCTCGCGGGACTGCGCTCATCCTCCTCGCATCCCGCGCCCCCCGGGCCCTCCCGTGGAGGACGCAGCGATCGTTCAGCTGGTGACCGATCTCCAGGATGGGGTCCAGGAGGGAGAGCGGGAGGGGGATCGGGGGGGGGGGGAGGAAGAAGAGTGTGCGGTAATAGAATGGAACATGCGTTAGCATATGTACAGTCGCCTCCGTTACTACCTAATGGCCTCGGGCCCATCCCTCCACCGTGCCTGCGTTGGAATGCTCGCTGGGATCTCGTGGGGGGGCTCTCGGGGCCTCTTAGAGGCAGTTTGGAGGCCTCCTGGGGGCGGTTTGGGGGGCCTCTCGGGGCCTCTTTTGGGCCTCCTGGGGGCCTCTCGGGGCCTCCTTGGGGGCGGGGTCTCATGGATGTTCGTTGGAGTATCGTGGGGAGCTTGTCGGGGGACTCTTGGAGGGAGGTGTGACGCAAGCGATGTCGACGCGCATGCTTTGAGGCCGATTCGCGGAGCGGCGTCCCGCGAAGCCCACGCGGAGCACTCCCGGAATCGGCCTGGTCGGCGCGCATGCTCTGAGGCCCACGAGCGGAGCGGCTCGCCGCGAATCCGACGCGGAGCATTCCGCGAAGATCGTGCTTTGAGGCTGATTTGCGGAAGGGCGCTCCGCTAACCCGACTCGGGGCACTCCAGAAATCGGCGCGCATGCTTCGAGGCCAAGGAGCGAAGCGGCGCACAGCCAATACGACGCGGAGCACTCCGGGAGTCGGCGCGAATGCCTTGAGACCGCTCAGCGGAGCGGCGATCTGCTAAAGCGACGTGACGCGGTGCACTCCAGGAATTTGGGTACTGGTCCCTTGAGAATCTTTGGGGTCGAGGACTGAGGCCGAGGGGATTGGGCCAAGGACCTGAGGACACGTCCACTACGTGCCCAGCGGCACGGTGGCGGATATCCCACCATCATCGGGTGCACGGTACATTCGGGACGGAGGCGGGATGAAGTCTGGGCTCCCTTCGGAGTATCCTGCGCTCTCTACGGGGCCCCCACACATGTATATATATATATAGTTATATGTATATGTATGTGTGTATATATATATATATATATATATAAGTTACCACCTCCATCACCCCCTCCCATTCCCAGGAAAGAGAAGGGGAAGAGGAAAGTAGAGGAGGGAGGAGGAGTGGTGGTGGTGGTGGTGGTGGTGGTGGTGGTGCTGGTGGTGGCGGTGGTGGCGGTGGTTGTGTGTATATATATATATATATATATATATATATATATTATTATTTGGGCCCACACACTCGCAAATCCCACACAATTCGGATGACGACAACGATGAGGGCACGAGCACGGAGGGGGTCAAAGAGCGGCGAGGCGACCAGGGGAGAGGGCACCGCCAGGGCGGCGATGGGCGCACTGGGCCAGACGGCGCCGAGCCCCGCCAAGCCCCCGGCCACCTCCCAGATGGGGCTGGGGGAAATCCTCTCCACCTTCTCCTCCACCTCCTCCTCCTCCTCCTGTTCCCTCCTCCTGCTCCCTCCTACTTCTCCTCCTCCTTCTCCTCCTCCGCCTTCTCCTCCTCCTTCTCCTCCTCCTCCTCCTTCTCCTCCTCCTCCTCCTCCTCCTTCCCCTCCCATCCACTCCTGGCCCTCCTGGCCCCTGCGCGGAGGGGCCACGAGAGCTCCCTCCAACGCTCCTCCCCCCCTCCCTCGCCCCCCGCCGATCTCGGGAGTGCGGTGAGAGCGCCCTCGGTCCCCCCTGGCCCTTCCAGGGAGTGGCTGTGGCCAGGAAGAGCCAGGAGGGGATGGGAGGGGGAGGAGGAGGAGAGGGAGGAAAGGGAGCAGGAGAAGAAGGATGAGGAGGAGGAGGAGGAGGCGGAAGATGAGGAGGAGGAGGGAGGAGGAGTAGAAGGAGGAGTAGGAGTAGGAGGAGTAGGAGGAGGAGGAGGAGGAGGAGGAGGAGGAGGAGGAGGAGGAGAAGGAGGATGAGGAGAAGTAGGAGGGAGGCTGTAATTTCCCATCTCCAGCAAACTCAGCAACCACTGCTGTGGTCCCTCTGCCGCGTCCTTTGGCACAGTCCCCGTCGCTCGTCCCTCTGCCCCCCCCCCCCCCCTCTCCGAGTCCCGGCGTCGTAGAGCATACGTAGACAGCTCGTGAGAAGTATTACGACCAGAGCTCCCTGCCCCGAATCCGCGCGGGATGGGTCGCAGCACGGGGGCAAACGCGCCCGTCGTGAATTTGTCGCGACGGCGACGACGCCGACGGCGGCGGCAACGATGACGAAGGCCACGACGACGACGACCGCGGCGGCGGCAACGACAACGCCGTCGGAGGCGACGCCGAGGCTGGGCGCTCTGGTCTCCCCCGAGAGCCCTCGCCTCCCCGCGCCTCTCCGGGCGGCTCCCGAGGCACCAGGGCCCTCCGCAACGTTCTGGGAGCGTCCCCGAACGCGCTCCGGAGCGGCCGCGGCGCCCGAGGCGTCCGCCAGAGCCGCCGGAGCTCAGAGATCCAGTTGCTCATCCCGGTCCGCGGGTGTCCTGATCCTGGTTTCGTCCAACTCTGAGTCGGGCCTGTTCCTCTACAGGGGGAATCGTCAATCGTAGTCAAATCATAGTCTGGGGACGATTTGTTGAAACTATTTTTGGGCATTATTGGAGCATTTTTGGGGCATTTTTTTTTCGTCCAACATCCCCCTGTAGGGGGACAGGCCCAATCGAAGTCTAACTCATCCCTCGTACGGTCCACGCATTGGAGCAAAGATCGAGGACGACCACGACGGCGGCTGCGACGACGACCGACGGCGACCGCAGCGGCGGCGACGACGACCGACCAACGCTGCGGCGCCCCACTGCCTCGCAGGAGGCCGAGCGAAACCCTGGCGCTCGCACGGGATAGAGGCATACACCCATGAAGCACAATACAATTATAGTAACACAATGACTTCGCGGGCTAGCTGAAGTCCACGGTTTTAGGGATCCGATTCATGCGCAAAGAAGATCCTCTATCCTTCATGTTTTTGGCCTTCCAAAGTTAGGTTCCTCTGTTGTTGATTTTGGAAGAGGGATTGCGGAGGGCCCCCAAGGGTTAACAGAAGGAGCTCCACCGAAGGCCCCAGTGGGGGTGCCCGCGTGCGTCCGCCACACCCAGTACATCGCTTCGTGGCCCCGTAGGGAGCTCCACCGAAGGCCCCAGTTGAGATGCCCGCGTGCGTCCGCCACACCCAGTACAGCGCGTCTTGGCCCCGTAGGGGGCTCCAGCGAAGGCCCCAGTAGGACTGCCCGCATGCGTCCGCCACACCCAGTACAGTGTTTCGTTGCCCCATGGGGAGCTCCACTGAAGGCCCCAGTAGGGGTGCCTGCATGCGTCCGCCACTCCCAGTACAGCGCTATGCGTCCGCCACACCCAGTACAGCGCTTCGTGGCCCCAAGGGGGGCTCCAGCGAAGGTCCCAGTGGGGGTGCCCGCATGCGTCCGCCACACCCAATACAACGTAATTATCGTGACCCCACAGGGAGCTCCAGCGAAGGTCCCAGCGGGACCGCCCGCATGCGTCCGCCACACCCAATACAGCGTTTCGTGGCCCGTAGCGAGCTCCACCGAAGGCCCCAGTTGCCCGCTGCGTCCGCCACACCCAGTACATACAGCGCTTCGTGGCCCGCAGGGAGCTCAAGCGAAGGTCCCAGTGGGACCGCCCGCATGCGTCGTCTGCCACACCCAGTGCAGCGCTTCGTGGCCCCACATGGAGCTCCACCGAAGGCCCAGTGACACCGCCCGCGTGCGTCTCCACAACCCACTAAAGCGCTTCGTGGCCCCATATGGAGCTCCTCCGAAGGCTCCAGAGGAAGCGCCCGCATGCGTTCCCCCCACCCACTTCGGCACGCCTCATCACGCGTTGCGTGACCCACCGGAAGCGGCACCCACAACGCGTTATTCACAATTACACATGGTTGGGTCCTTCGCCAGGAGCATTTTTTTTGAGAGGGCGGTCTGGGAAAGTTCCGCCCGACAAGTTGGTGCACTATGCCCAGGAGCCTTGGGGGATGGGCGAGGGTCCTGGTCGTGGGTTCGGTATACAAAGTGTCCTATATGGGGCGCGGCTGTGATATATATATATATATATATATATATATATGTATATATATATATATATGTTTAAAAATATGCCGAACGGTGCCTCGTGGGTGGAATCTGACTGGGGTGGGGGTGTGGTGTAAAACAATCGAGGGGGAAGATCTGCTAGGGAGGTGGCCAGAGCACGCCTCCACCATCGCGTCCCCTGGCCCCCGCCTCGGGCCCGCTGCCCCCCCCGGGGGGTTGCGGTGGTGGTGGCGGCGGCGGCACGCTTTCCCTCCTCCGATCGCTTGGCATCGCTCGAACGTGTGCATCTTACCTCGGCGACGGCCATCGAGAAGCACCCTGGATCATCGAGCGAAAGACAAACCACGCACGAAACCGAAAGATGCACGGGGAATGGACGTCCTAGTGTCAGCAAGATCAGGAGGTCAGGGGAATAGTATAAGGAGCCCAAGGGTGGCCGCGGTTTGGTCGGTTCGGCTGCGTCTCAGTCGGTTGCGCTATGTTGGTTCGGTTGGGTCGGTTGTCGCGTCGTTGTTACGTCGCTGCGCTCTTCTAGGTTCCCGCTTTGGCCTGGCTGTCGATTATTCCGGCTTTCGGTTGGTTGTGCTGTCGCCGTGGACGGCTTTTGGGAGGAGGCGGCGGGCAAGGGCGCGGATCCTGTAGAACCCTCCAGGCCCGCCTGAGCCTCTCCCCCAGGACATCTTTTCCCTCCTTACACCTCACCTCCCTCCTTCCTCGCCCTCCGTCCCTGTTCTCCCTTTCTGTCTCTCCCCCTCTTCTTTCGCCCTCCTCATCCTCCTCCTGCAGTCCTTTTCCTCTCTCGTCTCTTCTCTTCCCACCTCCCCTTCCTTACCAACATCAGGGCCTGGGAGGCCAAGTCTTCGAGCACCGACCGCTGCAACAAGACAGAGTCGACGTCGCACGAGAGCGACAACCACCTTCGCGACCGCGAGGCCGCAGCCTTCGCTTTGCCCTAGTTGACCCCTTTCTCTGGTTTATACCCACGCTCCTCTTCACACGTCTCCCCAAACAGTGCTTGCATTTAGGGTTTCTCACCTCTCACTAAGGAACTGGGCTGTTGTGGCGGTCTGGCGGCTATGTTGCCGCCGTCGCCGCCCCGTCGCCGCCTCGTCGCTGCCTCGTCGTCTTGGCTGGCGTGGTGGTCTGGCGGCTATGCTGCCGCCGTCGCCGCCCCGTCGCCTCGTCGCCGGCCGTCGTCTGGGCTTGTGTGGTGGTCTGGCATCTTTGTTGCCGCCGTCGCCGCCTCGTCGCCGCCTCGTCGCCGCCCGTCGTCTGGGCCTGTGTGGCGGTCTGGCGGCTATGTTGCCGCCGCCGCCGCCCCGTCGCCGCATCGTCGCCGCCCACATAGATGGCACACCACGTAAGCACACAGACTTCGCACCACATAGAGTGTACCACATCGATTGCACTACTTTGACTGCATCACATGTATTGCACGACAAGGATAGCACAACATCGACTGCACCACCTCGATTGCACAACGTATATTGCACCATGTAGCTTACACCACTTATTGACCCGACGCATCTTGTGCAACAGAAGTTGCACCTCGTAGGTTGCGCCATAATGTGTTGCAAAACGGCGGTTGCATTGCATCTATTGTGCGCCATCAATCGCACCACATAGGTTGCACAGCATTTATTGCACAACACGGATTGCACCGCAGATGTTGCACCAAACAGATTGCGCCACATAAATCTTACCATATATGCTGCTCCACATCTATTCTCCTTTCTACAAAGAGAAGAATAGACTGCACCCCCCCGGGATGATCGGTTCCCTTTTCCGTATCTCAATTTACATCAGATTCTGCCCCATCGTCCATCCTAGATATGAGCTCATACCATCTCAGCCCAGCCGGTATCGCCCCCCTTCCCCCGCCATCGTTAAAACATACTATGCGCGCGCACTCGTTTATCAAAACTCCTAAGTTTTCAAAAAGGCCCTTGCAAAACATTGGACGAAGTGCACACGCGCGCGCCGTCGCGCGCGCATGCCGAATTCCTTTAAACACCTTCGGTTTCGTAAGGATTTCAAAGCCGAGTGTCCACACAACATATAGCAACATAGGGTTTCGCAACACGGATTTCCAAAAAAAGATCGTGCGCGCGCGCTCTTGCGAATCCTTAAGAATAGGTTGTTCCACATGTTTCAGGAAATGCTACAAAACGTGCTTCGCGCGCGCATGTCGAAATCGTCCGAACGCCCTTGCGCGCATGCTGGGGTGGCATGATCCGTGTCAAATAATACCATGCGGGCCACTGTCGCGCATCGGCCGCGCGCGCATGTTGAATTCTTTCCAACACATTCATCACCGACGCGACGACGCCGTCACCGTCGTCGGCGTGATCAACATCGGCGCCGTCACTGGCTGCCCCGTCGTCGCTGTCAGCATCGTCGCCAGCATCGCTACTATCATCGTCGTGTCTACCGTTTTCGACGATACCGCGCCGAGCCAAGTCGCCGACTCGCACTGAAGTGCCCAGCGGGACTTGCCGAGCGGTCAGCGCCACCGCGTTCGCGTCGGTCGCATCAAACTAGCTGGGCGCTGCGCGCGCGAGCATGCGCGGGCTAGCGCGGCCGCAGAGATGCACCAGCCAACACCAAGCATTCATCGCAATCGCGCCCGCATGGGTTTTGCTAACCAAGTTGCGGGTGGGTGGATGGGATGATTGCGCGAGCAGTGGGGTTGCAACTTCATGTCGGGCAGGTGAATTGCGCCACGTAAATTACACCGCAGAGATTGCATTCCACATATGTTTATAACTGTGTGTATGTATTTATATATACATATGTACAACCAACTGCCAGAGACACTGTTTTGGGTCCGCGCTGGCTAGCATGTTTTACACCGCGTGTTTTCGCCCGTCTTCAGGCCCTGGGGCCATCACAGATCGGTCCAGCTCGAACGGGGCAGCAGAACGATGGGAGCCAGGGCTCCTGTCGTGCGTTTCCCCGATGCTGTTTTCCCCGCCCTCCTATGTTGGTTCTCGTTTTGGATAAAGCAGTGCGGTCGCACACCTTCTTCTCCTCCTCCTCCTCCTCCTCCTCCTCCTCCTCCTCCTCCTCCTTCTCCTTCCCCTCCTCCTCCTCCTCCTCTTCCTGTTCCTTCTCTTCCTCCTTCTCCTCCTCCTCCTCCACCTCCTCCTCCTCCTCGTCCTCCTCCTCGTCCTCCTCCTCCTCCTCCCCCCTCCTCCCCCTCTGTTGTCTCCCCCATTCTCCTGCCTCCTCCTGCGCTGCTCACTGGGGGATTGCGAACTGCGCAACGGTCGCCGCGTTCGTAGCCTCCTGGGAGATCCGAAACGGACCCAGCCGAGACCTCGCAGTTCCCTGGGAGGCTGCGAAGTGCGCACGCGTCGCCACTTTTGTGGGCTCTTGTGGGGCACGGCGGGGTAGGGGAGTAAACGGACCCAGCCGAGACCTTTTGGCTCCCTGGGAGGCTGTGAATTGCGCAACCGTCGCCACTGTCGTGGGCTCCTGGGAGGCACGTCGGGGTAGGGGAGTTGACGAACCCACCCAAGATTTCGCAGCTCCCTGGGAGGCTGCGAACTGCGCAACCGTCGCCACTGTCGCGGGCTCCTGGGAGGCACGGCCGAGTCGCGAACTATGCCGCGCACTCAGGCAGGACTTCGCGGCTCCGTGGGGGCACGCGAACTACGCAACCGTCGCTGCGTTCGTGGGCTCCTGGAAGGCACGGCGGAGTAGGGGAGTACGCGCACCCAGACGAGGCCTCGCAGCTCCCTGGGGCGCTAAGGATTGCGCAACTGTCGCTGTCGCTACTTTAGTGGTGTCCTGGGAGGCACGGCGGAGTCGTGGAGTACGCGCACCCAGCCGAGAAGTTGCAGCTGTATGGGCGGCTGCGAATGCGCAACCGTTGCCACGCTCGTGGGCTCCTGGGATGTCTAACGGAGTCGGGGGCCATGAGCACCCAGACGAGACCGCGCTGCTCCCTGGGTGGCTGTGACCTGCGAAATTGCCAACACTTTCTTATGATCCTGGGAGGTCCAGCGGAGTCGGGGACCACGCGCACCCAGACGAGACCTCGCTGCTCCCTGGATGGCCGAGAATTGTGCAACCGTCACCACTTTCGTGGGCTCCTCCTGAGGTCCAGCAGAGTCGGGGGCCACGCACACCCATTTGAGACCTCGCTGCTCCCTGGGCGGTTGCGGACCACTCAACTTGCGGCACTTTCGTTGGCTCCTGGGAGGTTCAGCGGAGTCGGGGGCCACGCGGATCCAGCCGAGATCTGGGAGGTTGTGAACTGCGCAATGGTCGCCTCTTTCGTAGGTCATCGCGCATTTCTGGCGATCTGTGCTCTTTAATATGGGGCGTGTATGCAAATATCCGCCTCGCGTGGAGAATGGGTTCGGTACATCTCGGGTATTTGTTTTCAACGTCGGATCTTTGGCGGGCGGGGCGACGGGGAGGACGGGGAGGAGGAGGAGGAGGCGGAGGAGGAGGCGGACGAGGAGTTGGAGGAGGAGGAAAAGAGGGAGGCGGGGGGAGGAGGAGGAGGAGGAGGAGGATGAGAACCAGGGAGGAGGAGAAGGAGGAGGAGGAGGAGGAAGAAGAAGAAGAGGAGGGGCTCGACATTGCAGAACCGCCTGCAGCTCGACGCTCGACGGAAGGGAGGGGTGATGGAGGGAGGCGGGAAAACGGATGCGAAGGAGGAGGATGACGGAGGGATGTGGGAAAATTGAATTTTGGCAGTGGGGAAAGAAAAGGGAAGGAGGAGCGAGATGAGAGACAGAACAGAGGGAGGTTGAAGTTTGAAGGAGGGATGGGGTGTTGAGCAGGGAGGGAAGGAGGAGAGCGCTGACGACATCCCTGTTTGGGAGGAGCGCTCGTTTGCAGCCATCAGTGCTGCCAACATCTTCGGCGTTGGCTTACAGTCAACCGCTGGAGGTTTATGGAAGAAGCTTCAGCATTTGAGACTTCCAGTCTAGAGCGTGATATCCTCAGGCTGCAAAGTGCGAAGTGCGTTGAGCAGCCGCTTCGCAAGGGCCGGGGCGAGCCTCGGGATACCGGTCTGCCAGGCTAATCCAAGTGGGGAAGCGCTGAGCGTTGGCGGTTCAGCACAGAGATGCGTTCCGTTGCCAGATGACCACATGAGCGACGTAGAACAACGAGGTCATCTGCTTTGACATTGGCACGTCCCGCGCAAGGTCGCGCAAACGCGCCCTCTTCTCCCCGAGGTGTGCTGTCTGAGCGGCCCGCGTATGCCAACGCGTAAGGTCGTCCTGTCTTCTCGCATAGGACCCCTTCGCTTCGTCACTCGTACGGTGAGGGCGCTCGAATCCACATATGTTGCAGTGCGCTGGGAAGGAGCGTGCCGATGTCTCGCTTACAGCTGCTATCTTGGCGACGGCGTCTCATCCTCCCCTTTCCTCCCATGGGGACTTCTGGTGAAGCTGGGTCGATCGGTTTGTACTAGTGGGGCTTCCTGCGCGGCGTCCTCCGCTCAAGGAACACCAGTGTGATCGCAGCTGTGGATTCGGATCGCGAACGCGTAAGTCCTTAAAGAGCCGACGGAACAGTAGTAGCAGTTTGCCACTGCGAGTGCAGGAGTGAAAGAGGAGGGCTTGCGTCTTTCAGGTGGCAATCTTGCAGCGCAAGAACGGGCGCCTCCGGAAGGAGTTGCACGCCAAGCAGCGAACCATTTCCGATCTGCTCAAACTGGTCGGAAAGGCGCGGCGTGGGATCCTCATCAGTAGCAGCTTGTCCAGAAGACGAGGGGGTCCATGGGCGGCAGGTGAACGATAGCAACACGAAGGGGAGAATACATTGGGAAGTTCCGGTAAGGCATGCTACGGGCTGGATGGCAGCCCGTTTTATACCCTCGGTCGCCTGCTGTCGCGCTTGCACGCTCGATGTCGGAGGAAAGAGAAGCGGCACCACCACCACCACCAGGGCCACCGCATGCGAGGAGATCCACGATCCCTGCCCGAGACGGAGATTGGAGGTATCTCGAGGGGGTCGCCGAACAGCATAAGCACTACACCACCACGAGTATCGTGCAATAAGGCAGCACCACGAAGATCGTGCGAGAAACAGCGACGTCGACACCACATCACCACGAGTTCAGTCTGCAAAGCAGCGCCGAAATGAACGAACCCATACCATTTTGACTTTGGTGGCGGCGTTGTCCTTCCACTGCTCCTGCGAGCGGGCATGGCCCGTTCCTGCCTCCTCGGCCACGTCCGCCTCCGCCGTCCGCTCCTCGCTTTGTCCTCCTCGCCCTCCACGTCCCCGGAGGTCCCTGGTCCCTGGATCTCCCCATAGGCTTGTGGACGGCCCGCAAGGGCCAGGGACGTCTGAAAATGGTGATCCTCGGTGTCGGACTTCTCTCGCAGGTTTCGCGCGTATTGTCATCTTGGGTTCTATCCCTTCTGCATGGGAGAATGCGTTGAGCTTTGCTACATGGAGGCCTGTGTCGTGACAGCGTTTTTCGCGACGGACTGGGTCACCTGCCAGCGCGCCCGCGCGTCAGACCGAGTTTGTTCGTTCTCGCCTCCACCTTCGTCTCTTCCTCCTCCTCCTCCTCCCCCTCCTCCTCTTTGTCCTCCTCGCCATCCTCTTTTTCCCCTCATCATCACCACCATCACCATGATCTTCGGTCGAGTGGGAAGCGGCGGATGGGCAGACAGGGTTCCCGACCAAGGTGCCGAAGGGGGCCTCCAGCAGAGCCGTGAAGGCTCCGGAGGGGCAAGTTCCACCTCTGGCTCCCGTGGCGCGGCCAGCTGGCGCCGTGCTGGCGACGCTGCGACTGATCGGCTGGACAGCCACTTCGGCCGCCGCGTGGGGCACGCACGACGGCGAGACCCTCGATCTGAAGAACGACGCAGCGTCGACCGCGAGGGCCGGCCTGCTGACGAGTGCTATGCATCAGCGGCCGCATCACCAGATCGGCATGCGCGAGGGACTCGAGTTCTGGGTCCTCTGAGCACGGGCCTCTGCGTTGCTCCCATCAGGCAGGTCATGCGGTCCTTGAGGAAGGCGGGACTCCATCGCGAAGCTTGGGTCCTGAGGTTGGGCGTGGGCAGGACGGCGTGGGCAGAATCCTTCACAACCCGCGAATGTGCCAGGTGCTCATCTATGAGAAGTCTTTCAGAGATCGCCGACTCCAAGGTGCCGATGGAGCTGCTCATTCCGACCCAGAAAGCATTGTGGAGGCAGTGTTTGATGCCTTAGTCGCGTTAGCAACACCGGCCGACTCGAGCGTAAAAAGTTGAGTAGACCAAGAGGCCGCCTGACGTAGTCTTCAACACGGACGGCTTCGTGGACGGCTCAGACATCAGCTACTCTGCCACGGTTGAGGTGCGCGTGGGCTTCGGCTGCGTCATGGTGAACCACCTTGGCCGCGTCTTTGGGGCCTTTTCACTGCAGGAGGTTCGGGATGGCGAGCTGTTCGCAATCGAAGTATTTCTGCACCAAAGGATCCGACCCTCAGTGATCTACATCGCCTAGCAGGGCTTCGCAGATATCATCATGGCGGTTCCCGAGGCGCGCCATCATCCTTGTCGGCGGATTCGTGCAGAATGGCAATCCTAAGTCGTGCCAGAACGCCATCCCTAGGACATCAACCATACAAACCCTCGAACATGTTGCAAATGCTGAGAACAAACGTGCGCGGCGCTGGGGCGAGAGCTCCTTTTTGAAAACCGCCCGCCTTCCACCTGTGAAGCTGCTGCAGAGTTTAAGACAGAGGTGCGCGGCGCTGAGGCGAGAACGACATTTTGAAAAGCAGCCGCCCTCCTTCTTTGAAGCTACTGCAAACCGAACTTGTAAGGCGAATGTTCACGGCGATGAGGCGAGAGCCACATTTTGAGAACGACCCGCCCCCCATCCTTGAAGGGATGTGCGCAGCTCTGAGGTGAGAACCATATTTTGAAAACCACCCACCCTCCATCCGTGAAGCTGCTGCGAAATTCAAGCTTCAGGATCATATGCTGTGAGGAAGTATCAGCCGAAACGCTCGGCCCGCCCTACCGACACGTGTCGGGGTGCGGCATGAGGAGGAGAGTTATCAGGCAAAGGGATGGAGGAGGGAGGATCGCACGCCAGTGAGGGAGAAAAGGAAAGAGGGACTCCTTGTTCCTGTGGTCGCCCACAGGTCCTCCAGAGGCCCCTCGGAGAGAGGCCCCCCGCTCCCCTGGGACAAAAGCTCACCACACGCGTCGCCTCCGAGCTCGCGGCTCTCCCGCTTTTGGGGGAGGAGAAGGAGGAGGAGGAGGAGGAGGAGGAGGAGGAGGAGGAGGAGGAGGAGGAGGAGTAGGAGGAGGAGGAGGAGGAGGAGGAGGAGGAGGAGGAGGAGGAGGTGGAGGAGGGGAGGAGGAGGAGGAGCAAGAAGAGGAGGAGGAGGAGGAGGAGGAGGAGGAGCATGGAGCTGGGGCTTCTGGCGCCTCCTCTTTTTCAGTGAGCCCGCAGACCCCTGGGGAGGAGCAGGACGAGGGGCCTGCTGCCTCGTGGCGAGCACGGCCAGTGCTGGGCCGCCCCCAGAGCCTCCCAAGATGCCTCCTCCTCCTCCTCCTCCTCCTCCTCCTCCTGCTCCTCCACCTCCGCCTCCTGCTCCTCGTCCTCCTTCTCCTCCTCTTCTTCCTCCTCCTCCTCCTGCTCCTCCACCTCCCCCTCCTCCTCCTCCCCCTCCTGCTCCTCCACCTCCCCCTCCTCTTCCTTCTCCTCCTCCTCCTCCTCCTCTTCCTCCTCCTCCTCCTGATCTTCCCCGCCATCCTCGTGGCCCGTGAATCCCGCATTCGGCCTGATGCCGTCGCCGCTGCTGGAGCATGGGCTCGAAGCAGAAACAATTGCATCGGAGGTGAGGGGGTGACATCGAAGTGGAACGGAGAGCCCCCCTACCGGGAAATCGGTTTCGGTCTCGTGTTCGTGCGTGCCGTGCGTGCGGGCGAGGCGAAGCTGCGTGGGCGGGCGAGAAAAAAGTCTCCTCCGGCCGAGGCGCGGCCGGACCAAATGTTTCCTTTCCAGGGGCCGGTGGGGCGCGGTGTCCCGCTGGTGTCCCGCCTCCGGCTGAGGGGCGGCCGGACCAAATGTTTCCTTTCCAGGGGCCAGTGGGGCGCGGTGTCCCGCCGGTGTCCCGCCAGTGTCCCGTCGGTGTCCCGATGATGATGATGATGATGATGATGATGATGATGATGATGATGATGATGATGATGATGATGATGATGATGATGATGATGCTGATGCTGATGATGATGATGATGATGTTTTTGATGATGATGATGATGATGATGATGATGATGTCGACGATGATGATGATGATGATGATGATGATGATGATGGTGATGCTGGTGATGATGATGGTGTCCCGATGATGATGACGATGATGATGATGATCATGATGATGATGATAGTGTTGACGATGTTGATGATGACGATGATGATGGTGATGTTGATGGCCATGGTGGTGATGATGCTGGTGTCCCGATGATGACGATATTGATGATGCTGATGTTGCTGATGATGATGATGGTGTCCCGATGATGATGATGTTGTTGATGATGATGATGCTGATGATGATGAAAATGATAATGATAGTGTCCCGGTGATGATGGTGATGATGAGGTTGATGATGGTGCTGTTGTTGATGATGATGGTGATGAGGATGATGGTGTTCCGATGATGATGATGTTGATGTTGATGACGATGATGGTGGCCCGATATTGATGATGTTGATGATGAGAATGATGAAGAGGTGATGATGATGATTTTGATGATGGTGACCCGATGATGAGTGTGATGATGTGAATGATGATGACGGTGTCCCGATGATGATGGTGATGACGATAATAATGACGATGATGATGGTGTCCCAGTGGTGATGATGATGTTGTTGATGATGATGTTGCTGATGATGATGGTGGTGTTCCGATGCCGATGATGATGATGTCCCGATGATGATGATGGTGTCCCGTTGATGATGGTTACGATGATGGTGTCCCGGTGATGATAATGATGATGATGATGTTGTTGATGATGGTGATGAGGTGATGATGATAATGGTGCCTCGATGATGATGATGATGATGATGTTGATGACGTTGATGACGACGATGTTGATGATGATGATGATGACGTTGATTGTGATGTCGATTGTGATATCGATGGTGAGATCGATAGTGAGATCGATAGTGAGATCGACTATGAGATCGATAGTGGGATCGATAGTGAGATCGATTGTGAGATCGATGGTCAGATCGATTTTGAGATCGATCGAACGAAATAGATCGAGATCGATTGTGCGATCGATCGGGTGAGATCGATCGAGCGAGACCGATAGTGAGTTCGATAGTGAGATCGATAGTGAGACCGACCGAGTCAGACGTTTGTTCCTCCCCCTCACTGAACCTCCTTATCACCCTAAAGGTGGTCGTATAGGTAAAAAATAATATGTTGGCGCTCCGCGCGGATCCAAGAAGTCCGCGCGGAGCGCCGAACATTCATGTTCATGCCGTTTGTTTTTCTTCTTCTTCTATGGACGTCCAGTGGACCTGCAGCCATTCTCCGCGTCTCGACGGGCCCATGTCTTCAGCTCCGTGGATAAGCTCATGACGGCTTCCTTTGTTGCTCGTTCCCACCATTCCCACCCATCCGGTGGTGTTGGGTCCCCTTCTGAGTACGCATGGCCTCGCGTCCTTCCTTCCCCCTTCTCCCCCTCCTCCCCCTCCTGGCTCCTCTCGCTTCTGCCCTCCGCGCGTCCTCATCAGTATCATCATCAGCATCATCATCAGCATCAGCATCACCATTATCAGCAGCATCATCATCAACATCAGCTTCTTCATCGTCATCAACCTCATCGTCACCATCATACTCATCATCATACTCACCATAAACATCATCACCACCTCACCACCATTGTCACAATCTTCATCGTCAGCACCATCATCATAGGCATCCTCGTCAGAGTCAGCACCAGGGGCATCATCGTCATCAACATCACTACGCGTGGTCATCATCATCAGCGCTACCACTATCATTATCATCATCATCATCAGCATACTCAGCATCATCATCACCACCATCATCATAATCCTCATCACCATCATCATCATCGCCAACAGCGCCATGACCATAATCGAACTCATCGTCATTACCATGGTCGCCAAATTCATCATCACCATTATCATGATAACCATCATTGTCACTATCACCCCCATCATCACCATCACCATCATCGTTATCATTTCATCATCGTTAGCTCCATGATCAGCGTCATCGTCATCATCACCATCATCATCTCCATCATCAGTATCACCATCACCATTGCCATCATCATCATCATCATCATCACCATCATCATCAATAGTAGCATCGTAATCATCATCATCAACATGATCATCATCAACAACATCACCATCATCACCATACTCATAAGTATCTCCACCACGATGGCTATCACTCACCATCAGGATGTCGGCATACCCCTCACACGGTTTGCGGCCCTAGCGGGAGCTCCACCTAACGTCCCAGTACACTTTCATGGCCCACCACCCACACTTTTCGTGGCCCACCAGGGAGCTCCACCGAAGACGATACTCAAACCAACGGTCCTCACAGCTGCATGTGGCTGGGTCCTTCGCCAGGCCAGTTGATTTTCCGTCTCAGCCTCTAGAGGCCATTCTGGGACCCCTGGGCCTGCTGCAGGAGACGACGAAGCCCAGCACCTACCTTTGACGCGTCCCTGGAGTCCTCGACCTCATACAGTCGGGGCGCCGAAGAAGGAACCCTTTTCGTTGGGGAGGGGCTCGGTGTTCCTTGATTGTTTCGCAGCTTGCCTTCGGTTTTCCTTATGTTTCCGATCGGAAATCGAAGTTTAACTCATGGAAAAAAGGAGCCTCGTTCCTTATTTTGGGTTCCTTAGGTCAACGCCCCGACTGTAGTCATGAACTCTGGCTCAGCGTGTCGCGCTGCCGAATTCTGGCCCACGCCTCGGCGCGACGCGCCAACCACTTCTCAGTCCCCAGGCGTCAACGCCCCGAGCGCCACCCCCCCCGCCCCGCGGAGCGGAGCAACACGCCTATGCATCCGCGTGTAGGGCATCGCGTGCCACCTTGGGCCGCCGCCGCTCGTGCCCCCGAGGGCCCGGAGTGCGCCTCGGGCGGCCGAAGCAGCGGCGCAGAGGCGGGGGCCGTCGTGACCCGTTCGTGGCGCCGGAGGTCCTGGTGCGTCCTGGAGCAACAGAGACGTACACTTGTGCAAAGAGAGAAATGAAGCACAATCCACCACTATTTAAGTGTCATCTTGGACTTGAAATACATGTGATATCGATACTAGTCTTTGCAATTGCTAGAAATGTGAATTATTCGACGTTGGCCTCGGATGAGAACCAATCGGCCCAGAGCGCTCCACAGCGCTCTGAGAGCGTCCGCGGCGCTCGGGAGCGGCCGCCGTGTCCGTGCCCTCCTCCCCGGGCCCGCCGGCTCTCGGAGGTTCCAGACGTATGTCGCCATGCAAAATGTGTCCTCGTCCTGCCTTCGTCCCGACGTCGGTGTTCGGAGGATCGGCGCGAGGAGAACTCGTGGGGCCCTGGCAAGGGGCAAGGGCGAATGGGGGAGGAGGACGAGGGAGGAGGGGGAGGAGGAGCAGGAGGAGGAGGAGGAGGAGGAAGACAGGGGGGATGAGGCGAAAAAGGAGGAGGAAGAGGAGGAAACGGAGGAGGAGGATGAGGATTAGGAGGAGGAGGAGGAGGAGGAGGAGGAGGAGGAGGAGGAGGAGGAGGAGGAGGAGGAGGAGGAGGAGGAGGAGGAGGAGGAGGACGACGACGATGACGGGGAAGGAGGAAGAGGACAAGGGATGAGGACGACGTAGAGGACGAGGCGCAGCAGCAGCAGTAATAATGCCAAGATTTCAGGATACCCCCCAGGCTCGTCCCTGTGGATGGGGGGGTGGAGGAGGTGGAGGAGGAGGAGGAGGAGGAGGGGAGGAGGAGGAGGAGGAGGGGAATGTCGAGTGTCTTGATGAGTCCACGAGCCGACGCCCAGGTGACCGCGCAGCAGGGGGCGGAGAGCTCCGCCGCGGAGGGCGCCGAGGAGGAAGGGGCGGCCGCCCCTTCCTGGCCTCCGCCCCTCCTTCTCCTCCCTCCTCCTCCTCCTCGTCCTCCTCCTCGTCCTCCTCCTCCTCCCCCTCCTCGTCCTCCTCGTCCTCCTCCACCTCCTCCTCCTCCTCCTCCTCCTCCTCCTCCTTTTCTTCCGTAGCCATCTGCGCCCTCCGCGCCCTCCGCGCGGCCAGAGGCACGGTGCTCGGGCCCGGCTCTCCGTGGACTCCGCGCCGTGCGGGCGCGACCGCGCAGGCTCTCCGCCGCCAGCGCTGGGCGCTGCGCGCGCGGCGCCACGCGCGCAGCGCGGCGCCAGCGGCCCGCTGCCGCGCCGCTCGCAGGGCCTCGGCGCCCGGCGCGGGGCTGGGGCGACGTCCTGGGCTCAGGAGGGGAAAAACACAGACACAACTATTCGTCGATTTCCCAGGAAACATGGGAAAATATGGGAAGTGGGGGGGGAAGGAAAATACAAATAAAATATGGGAAAATATCGGGGATCTCGTAATTCGTGTGTATTTCTTTGTGCGTCCTTGGGCCCCTTGATGGGCGTGCAGCTGCCCTGGCGTGGTGGGTGCGCCGGCCGCGGCGCGCGTGCGTGGTGGCCGCGCTGCGGAGGCTCTCCGAGGAGGCGCAGGTCCTGCGCCCCGAGGGCGGCAGGGGCCAGGCGCGCCCTCCCGCCTGGGCGCGGCGCCGCTGCCGCCCATGCCAGGCGGGGCCCTGCTCGCAAAGGTCGTGGAGCTGCTGCTGTTCGCGTGCCCTCTCCGCGCGGGTGCCGAGGAGTTCGCTCCTGGGCGGCTTGCGGGTGGGGCCCCGGAGGGGCACGCGGACGCAGAGGTGTTGCCGGGCGCCCTGGCTGCTCCCGCTGTGCCACGGTCGCCGCACTCCCATGCTCCACACTGATCGCAGGCGGTTTCTCCACCGCAGCCCCCCGACTTTCCGGTGAAAAATCGAGCAAAGGATGACAACTCAGGGATGCACCCCCAGGTGGCTATTCGGATGCACTCCTATTGAAGATGGACGCCCCCAATCGTGCACGTATCCTTGAGTTGGGCCGCACATGTTTTACCCGTAGTCCCACGAAGTCGTGGATAGGGGTCGATATATCCCTTGTTATGTGATGCTGAGTGCTCTGGTCGTGAAGGTCGTGAAGGGCATATTGGAGGCGAACCCAGAGTTCATTGTGATCATCCTGTGGATGAAGAGTCACCGAACGCTGGACAGGTTGCAGAAGCTGGCGACCCTCGTAGACGGGACCTGTTGCAGTACCGCATGGAGGGGCTGATGTCGAGATTTCTTCTTCCTGTGCCTGCGTTTCCTCGAGATGCTCCTCGCGAAGGGGCTGCTGACCACCTCCGGTCCTGGTGCAGCTCTTGCCGACGAGGCTGCCAGTGCCAGTGCGCCCGGCGGTCTCAAGAGCGGCGCGGGGCATGCTCCTCGTGAGGCTGTTCCGCCCAGGGCTTGAGGGAGCCCTGGGCTCTTTCGGCTTTGCCAGCGCTGCCGAAGCTCAGGAGTGCGGCAGGGCTGCCAGAGTGGCCAGGATCGTGGACCCCAGACCCGTGATCGGGCAGAGCGCGGAGTGACGGTGGCCGTGCTTCGTGGTCTGGTCCTGGTGGGCTGCGGGTCCGCGCAAGCACTGTTTGCTGGGCCGTAAGTCGGCCTCGGAATTTGTTGTTGCATGACTAAGCCCCTAGGATAAAAAAATGCCCCCACCGTATAGCCGTTTCGGCGCGAGCTGGTGTTCTGGAGCTGGAGACAGCTCGCGTTTGTGTCCACTTACTTCGAAGCGGCGTAGTGGGCACGAGCCAACTTTCACGACGACGGCCCCACCTGTGGCAGCCCGCGGGTCATGGCGCCGTCACCTTCGGACCCTGGCATCATCCCAGGCGCGCGCAAGACACCTCTCTGGTCTTGCTCCTGCGGCTGTGATGGCAACTGGGCGTCCAGGACGCGCTGCCGCCTGTGCTGGAAGGCGGCTCCCACCCATGTGGTGCAGGCAGCCAAGCTTTCGGCAGCAGCCGCCAGCGGGCCAGCTCCCAGCTCGTCCCGCCCACGTGGTGCCTGGGCGCAAGGCCCGCCAGGACAGGGGCAGCTGCTGGCGCAGCTGCAGCAGCTGCAGAAGCAGGTGGCTGAGCTCAAGGGCGAGCCCCCGCCTCCGACGGAGCCTTGGAAAGGACGCAAGCCCCCGCCCAGGAAGTCGGTCGAGGAGAGTCCTGGCATCTCCTTCAAGGACGTGCGCACCTTCTTGGCAAAGGAGGGGCTTGACACCAGCGCGGTGGAGGAGGCAGAGAAGGTTGCGGAGTCGAAGACGTTGGAGAGCAAGCAGCCTACTGCGCAGACGCAGCGCTGGAGGGTCAAGGCCATGCGGGACAAGATCAAGAAGCTCGAGGCCCGCGAGTCAGCCATCCTGGAGCAGCAGGCCGCACTTGACAAGGAGCTCCTGGAGCTCAGGGCTTCGCTCGGCGAAGAGAATCAGAAGCTTGCGGAGGGGGAGGCCAAGTTGGTCAAGTTGCAGGCCAGCGAGTTCCCCGACCCGATTTTGGCAGTTGCAGCGGGGTTGGATGAGGACGTCGCCGCCAGCCAGGAGGCCAAGGACGCCCTCGCGGTCCTCGCCCGCTTGCAGAACGCAGCCAGCGAAAGCAAGAAGGCTGCCGCCGCTGCCAAGTCCGCTGCGGCTCCTCCTGGTCCTGCTGCCGGGGGTCCAGACGCAGGCGGCGAGCGCCAACCTGTGCCAGAGGCAGACGACATCGACATGGAGCTGCTGGGAGGAGAAGCATGAGGAGTATGCTGCAGCCTCAGCAGCCCTCCGTGAGGCGACCCCCGAGCAGCGGGACGAGGCCAAGCGCAAGCTGCGGGATGCCTTGGACGCGCTCTGGGCAGCAGGCAAGCGGCCTCGGCACCTTTGACCCCAGGCCCATCGCGAGCCTGGACCTCGCCCGCACGGGGAGGTGCCCCCGCCATCCCTGGGTTGAGGGGGCAGGCGCGAGGGGGCGCGTGGCGGCCGAATGTCTGCAGCTGGCCAAGCCGGTGCGGCCTTCGGAGAAGCTGGGCGCCAGCTTCCTCAGCGTCAACGGCTCCACGTGGGCCGAGTCCCAGACGGCTCTCGAGCAGCTGCTGGACGAGAAGGTCAGGGACGATGTGTACTTCATCCAAGAGACCCGCTTCACTTCGGCGCTGGCGGAAGGCTCGGCCCGTGCCTGGTGCAAGCGGAACGGCATCTCAGCGGCCTTCGTAGAGTGCCGCAGCACGGGGTCGGCGGTCCAGGCAGTCTCGTCTGGGGTCGCGGTTCTGGTCGGGGAACACCGCGGAGTGGCCGCGATTGACCAGGTTTGGGGCCAGCACGCACCGAGGATCGTGGCCAGGCGCGTTGCCTTCGGGGACCTGGTCGTTGTGTGTGTCAGTTTGTACTTGCAGTGCTCGGTCAAGCTCAACGAGACCAACGTGGACCTCTTGAGTGAGCTGCAGGGTTTCCTGCTGAGCTTGCGGGGGCCCTTCGTAGTGGGGGCCGGCTGGAACTTGGAGCCCAGCCTCCTCAGCAGCTCGTGGTGGCCACGAGCAGCGGGGGCAGTGATAGTGGCGCCTGAGGAGCCGACCTGCGGTGACAGCACCTACGACTTCTTCGTGATCTCAGACGTACTGGCTGGGCTAGGGCCGAAGGTGTCGGTGCTTAGACAGGCGCCCACACACCCACACGTACCAGTCAGGCTCACCTTCGAGAAGTTGAGCAGCCAGACAGGGGTCTGGGTGCAGAAGGGCCCCAAGCCTTTCGAGCTGCCTGCGGCCAAGCAGGAGGGGATCCAGCCCGAGCCAGAGGAGGAGGACTCGCTGACGGACTGGAAGGCGCCGCTCCTGGACGAGAAGGGGAGCCCGAACAAGGCGATCTCCGAGTTCTTTGTCCTGGCAGAGGAGCGCCTGATTCACCTCCTCGGCATCAAGGACGGCGCCAAGTACAGAGGCAGGGCGCAGGGGCTCAAGAGGGTACCCAAGCAGCTCATCCACCTCCTGCGCTCTGAGGAGGTCCGCAGGACCAGCCCGCTCACTCGATGCTGGATCACTTTAGGGCGCCTGGCCACTCAGCTGGCGGCCGCGGCGTCGGTGTCTCACCCCTCGCATGGGCACCGCAAGCACGTCAAGCGCCTGCAGGAGGCCGCACAAGGCTTGGTCCCCAAGTTTGAGGCAGCTGGCTGTGACATTTTCAGCGGCACCAAGATGGAGACGATGCTTGAGGAGATCTCGGGCAGGCCGCAGCAGGGCGGCATCTTCCTCCAGGCCATCAGTGCCGCCGTAGAGGTCAAGCGCAAAGAGGACGTGAAGCTCGCCAGGCAGCGCTGGAAGGAGTTCATGGCCGAGGCCCTCAGCGGGAACGGGAAGGGCGCCCATGCGATCATCAAGCAGGCCAACCTCGAGTCTTGCTCCATCCTCGGCCCAGGCGAGGGCGAGGCCCCCCCAGTCCCGCTGGTCGGGCAGCAGGCACTGGACAGGATCCTGCAAGAGTGGAAGGCGCTGTGGCACAAGGACGGCTCCTCCAGCGTCCGCCCAGAGAACTGGGAGGAACCCTTCGGGTTGGACGCGATCACGGCTGAGGAGGTGCTGGCAGCGGCGAAGACCTTTCCCAGGAAGACGGCGCTGGGATGGGACGCATTCCACCCCAGGCTCATCCTCAGCTTAGGCAGGGTGTACGCCGAGAGGCTGGCCGAGATCTTGACAGCCTGGGAACGCCGCCCTCAGACGTCGGAGCTTTTTACCACGATCATTGTTTTCTTGGGGAAGCCCGATGGGGGCCGACGCCCGATCGGTCTCCTCTGCATGTGGCTGCGCATCTGGAGCCGCATCAGGCGCAAGTACTGCGCGGCCTGGGAGAAGGACCACAAGCTCCCCGAATACTGGGCGGCAGACACGGACACCTGTTGCGACAGGGCGGCTTACATTCACAACCTTCTGCTCGGCTTCGCGCGAGAGAAGAACTTCGAAGCGGCATCGGTCTACTTCGACATCAGCAAG